GGGGGGGGGTCTCCTGCCTCAGTTTCCCCTGGCAGGGGGGGAGCAGCGGCGCCCTGGGGGTGGTGGCACCTCCAGGGGTTGGTGACACTTCAGGGGAGGTGGCACCTCCAGGGGTTGGTGGCAATTCTAGGCGTTGGTGGCACTTCGGGGCTGGTGTCACCTCCAGGGGTTGGTGGCACTTTGGGGCACCGGGGACTGGTGTCACCTCCGGGGACTGGTGCCATCTTAGGGATTGTGTCACCTCCAGGTCTTGGTGGCACTTTGGGGCTGGTGGCACCTCCAGGGGTTGGGGGCACTTTGGGGCTGGTGTCACCTCCAGGGCTTGGTGGCACCTCCAGATGGTGACACTTCTAGGCATTGGTGTCACCTCCAGGGCTTGGTGGCACTTTGGGACTGGTGGCACCTCCAGGGCTTGGTGACACCTCCAGGCATTGGTGGAGTCTTGGCTGGTGGCTCTTCTGGGTGTTGGTGGCACTTTGGGGCTGGTGGCACTTCCAGATGTTGGTGGTGACACCTCCAGGGCTTGGTGACACGTCCAGGCATTGGTGGCATCGTGGGACTGGTGTCACGTCTGGGCTGATGTCACCTTCAAGCATTGGTGATGCGTCCAGGCACTGGTGTCACTTTGGGGCTGGTGGCACCTCCAGATGTTGGTGACACCTCCAGGGGTTGGTGGCACTTTGGGACTGGCGGCAGCTCCAGCTATTTGTGTCCCCTTGGGGCTGGTGACACTTCCAGACTTGGTGACACTCTGAGGCTGGCGACACCTCCAGGTGCTGGTGACAGTCTGGGGCTGGTGGCACCTTCAGGACTGGTGACACTTCCAGATCTGGTGACACTCTGAGGCTGGTGACACCTGAGACCTCCAGGCCTTGGTGACACCTCCAGACTTGATGACACCTCCAGGACTGGTGGCACCTCCAGATGTTGGTGTCCCCTTGAACCCGGTGACACCCCCAGATGTTGGTGTCCCTTTGGGGCTGGTGGCACCTCCAGCACTGGTGACACTTCCAGTTGTTTGTGTCCCTTTGGGGCTGGTGACACCCCCAGATGTTGGTGTCCCCTTGAATCCGTTGACACCCCCAGATGTTGATGTCCCTTTGAGGCTGGTGACACTTCAAGTTGTTTGTGTCCCTTTGGGGCTGGTGACGCCCCCAGATGTTGGTGTCCCCTTGAATCCAGTGACACCTCCAGATGTTGGTGTCCCCTTGAGGCTGGTGACACCCCCAGATACTGGTGTCCCTTTGGGGCTGGTGGCACCTCCAGCACTGGTGACACCCCCAGATGTTGGTGTCCCCTTGAATCCAGTGACACCTCCAGATGTTGGTGTCCCCTTGAGGCTGGTGACACCCCCAGATACTGGTGTCCCTTTGGGGCTGGTGGCACCTCCAGCACTGGTGACACCCCCAGATGTTGGTGTCCCCTTGAACCCGGTGACACCCCCAGATGTTGGTGTCCCCTTGAACCCGGTGACACCCCCAGATGTTGGTGTCCCCTTGAACCCGGTGACACCCCCAGATGTTGCTGTCCCCTTGAACCTGGCGACATCGCCACCATCCACCACCACCCCCTCGCCCCGGTGCCACCTGGGAGCCACCCCTCGCCCCGGCGCCGCCACCCCGGCGCCGATGTCACCTCTCTGTCCCCCCTCAGACGTTGCTGATGCGGACGCTGAGCGGGGCCCCCTCCCCCTCCCGCTCCGCCTCCCGCAGCGACTCCTCCAGCTTGACCTTCTCGGGGTCCCCGAACCGCACGGCCTCGTGGTGACAGCAGGGCGCCGCCACCTTGACCACGCGGTCGAAGAGGCTGAAGTCGGCCACGTACTTGCCGCTGGCCGACAGCGAGATGGCCGGCGTGAACTCGTAGCCCCACAGGATCTCCTCGGGCAGGTAGGACGTGCGCACCTGGCACGTGGCGCTGGTGGACTCCACGGTGCCGCTCAGGATGACCACCAGCTCGAAGTCGCCGTCCCCCGAGCGCAGGGACACGTCCCGCAGCGGGCTGGCCTCGTCCACCACGTGGTAGAAGGTCAGCGGCAGGATGAGGAAGGGGCTGTCCGAGGACGTGTCCACCTGGAAGTCCACGTTGAGCTGGTTGAGCCGGACGCTCTCGCCCTCCTTGGTGAGGTGGGTCTGCAGCAGCTTGCCGGTGACCTGGCAGCCGATCAGGAGGCTCTTCCTCATGTTGGCCACGCGGATCATCAGGCAGGTCTTGCCGTCGTGCTGCGCCACCACGGCGTTCTGGCTGAACTTGATGGTCTCGGCGCGCTTCTTGGGCCGCGCGATCTTGGCCAGGAAGGTGCCGGTGATGAAGATCTCCAGGATGGTGGTGAGCACCAGCTGGGTGATGAGCAGCACGATGGCCAGCGGGCACTCCTCGCTGATGTAGCGGAAGCCGTAGCCGATGGTGGTCTGCGACTCCAGGGAGAAGAGGAAGGCGCCGGTCAGCGTGTGCACCTGCATCACGCACGGCGTGTGGTTGGCGGGCGGCTCGAACTCCAGCAGGTCGCCGTGCGCCGCGGCCACCAGGTACCACACCACGCCGAAGGCGAACCAGGTGCCGGCGAAGGTGGCGGAGAAGAGCAGGAGCTTGTAGCGCCACTGGAGGTCGATGAAGGTGGTCCACAGGTCCTTGAGGTACAGGAAGCGCTTGTCCGAGATGTGCTCCATGCGCACGTTGCTGCGGCCGTCCTTGGTCAGCACGCGGCGCCGCCGCAGCCCCGGCCCCATCAGCGGGCGGCTGTCGGTCTGCGTGGTCTGGCTGTAGTACACCTTGGTGGAGGACGTCATCTGTGGGGACACGGGGACGCGTGAGGGATGGGGACAGGGAGAGAATGTCTTCTGTGGGGACACCAGGACAGGGGAGGGACAGGGGCAGGGAGAGAATGTCTTCTGTGGGGACACCAGGACAGGGGAGGGACAGGGGCAGGGAGAGAATGTCTTCTGTGGGGACACCAGGACAGGGGAGGGACAGGGGCAGGGAGAGAATGTCTTCTGTGGGGACACCAGGACAGGGGAGGGACAGGGGGGAGAATGTCGTCTGTGGGGACATGGGGACAGGGCAGGGACAGGTGGAGAATGTCATCTGTGGGGACATGAGGACAGGGCAGGGACAGGGGGAGAATGTCATCTGTGGGGACACCGGGACAGGGGAGGGACAGGGAGAGGATGTGATCTGTATGTGCACCGGGACAGGGGAGGGACAGGGACAGGGAGAGAATGTCATCTGTGGGGACACCGGGACAGGGGAGGGACAGGGAGAGAATGTCATCTGTGGGGACACCGGGACAGGGAAGGGACAGGTGGAGAATGTCATCTGTGGGGACACCAGGACAGGGGAGGGACAGGGGAGGGACAGGTGGAGAATGTCATCTGTGGGGACACGGGGACAGGTGAGGGACAGGGCAGGGACTGGGGAGGGACAGGTGACAGGGTCATCAAGGGGGACACAGGGACAGGCAGAGGGAGTGCTCAGCGGGGACATGTGAGGGGCAGGTGAGGGGAATCATCTTGAGGGACATGGGGACAGGTGAGGGACAGGGGAGGGACAGGTAGAGAACGTCATCTGTGGGGACACGGGGACATTGGAGGGAGAGGTGGAGAGGGGCACCTGCAGGGGACACTGGGACAGGTGAGGGACATGGGAGGGACAGGAGGAGAATGACATCAGGGGGGAACCAGGGGGTGATCCCCATGTCCCTCCCCCCCCGTGTCCCCCTCCCCTGTCCCCTGGCAGCTCCGGTGGTGGCCCTGGAAGTGTCCCTGGCGTCCGGGAGGAAGAGGAAGGGGATGAATGGGAGGTGACAGGGACAAATGGCCGGGGGCAGCGCCAGGCGCCTCCCCGGTGTCCCCGTGTCCCGGTGTCCCCATCCCAAAAAAGGCCCTTTCAGCCCCCGCCAGCCTCTGGCCCCGCCACCGTTTCCGCCGCGGAAGGGCAGCGTGCCGGGGACACGGGGACACGGGGACACCGGGAGGTGCTGGCACCACGGGGGGGTCTCCTTGGAGCCCGATGTCCCCGCGCCGGCCAAGGCTGGGGACACGAGTGGCACTGCCACTGTCGCGGCTGCGCCAGAGAAATGTCCTGGAAGGGACGGTGGCAGCCGGGACAGAGGGGACATCGCTGTCCCCAAAGAGGGGACACGGAGCTGCTCCGGGGGGGCTCTGGGGGTCCCTGGAGCCACCGTGTCCCCACAGAGCCGCTGTGTCCCCAGAGCCACTGCGTGTCCCCAAAACCACCCCGTGTCCTGGAGCTGCTGGGGGTCCCCAGAGCCCCCCGTGTCCCCAGAGACCCCCGTGTCCCCAGAGCCCCCCGTGTCCCCAGAGACCCCCGTGTCCCCAGAGCCCCCGTGTCCCCAGAGCCCCCCGTGTCCCCAAAGCCCCCCGTGAGCTTGCCGGTGACCTG